AGTGTTACAGTGTTTCTCTTGGCATCATCTTGAAGATGCTGGATTTCATGGTGCTTCGTTGTTTTTATAAGTTCTGTCTTTTCATGGTCGCTATCTGTGATCCTGTGCTCAAGGTCTCAAATTCTATCCTCAGCTTCATTTAAATGTTTTAGCCAGCTTTCAATAGAATGTTTTGTTTCTTGGATATCTCTTTGAATTTGTTTCATTGATTCTGCTTTTTTCTGCATTGTTCATTCAAAGTTTCAATCAATTTCCCATGATCCTGTTTTATTTTTTTAATCTATTTCTTCCCTAGCTATGTTGAACATATCCTTTACTTAGGTTGTTATGTCTGCCTTTATGTAAGACATTACTTCTAATTTGATTTCCTCTATATCCTCATGGATTTATTTTTTTTTTTTACTTCAATTACTATCTTTTCAGAGATTTCTTGTGAATGGCTTTTAAAGCCCTCCATTTCACTGCATTTGTTCTTGCATCAGAGGAACTAGATGTTTAAGATTGTGTTTTGGTTTTTTATTTAGTCATTTTTACCTTCTGGGCCAATATCTGGTTATTTAATCCCAATAGTCACAACTGTTGGCAGTGTAAGTCCCTGGGTCCTAATGTGTGGTTGATGTCCCCGCAATTGTTGGGTACATAGTGATTGGAGCCTGCCATGGTCCTCTATTTGGGCGAGGGGCCACCAAGTTTCCCGTCAAACCAGCACTGCCAGTCCACTACAATTCAAGGTTCTGGGAGGCAGAGTGAGAGCAAAAGTCCACAACAGTGTTTGGTCTAAGAAATGGAGAGGGTAACCAGGGCAGTGGGTCCAGTCAAGGTGAGTGTGGTGGTCCTTTGGTTCAGCACCCCGGAGTAGTGTGCTGGGTCACAGGCATGGCTCAGGGGCCTGAGACGGGAAGGAGCTCAGTGGTCTTCCTCCCTGTGGCAGTGGCGGGGAGGCACTGAGGTATGCAGGCATGCCCAGTGGCCCAAGTCAGGGTGGACCTTGGCGGCTTTCTCAGGGCAGCCTCTTCCTTCACCCCGCATCAGTGGGGGGGGGACACCGAGGCACGCAGGCACTCACAGCAGCCCGAGCTGGGGTGGAGCTCAGTGTTCTTAAGAATTGTCAGTTTTCATCTTGTCACAAGTCTTTGTTACTTTTTTCTCATTGCTTGAACCCAATATCCAACACCCAAAATGAAGGAAGGAAAGGCTTATTTAGCTCACTCTTGTGGAGGTTTCACTCCACTATTAGCTGGCTCTAAGACAGGGTGGCACTGGGCAACACTTCAGCGCAGCAGCCAGAACAAAAGAAAAGCAAACAAACCTCTTCTCCTGGCTAATATTCAGCCCATTCCCCCTCAGGGCGAGTGTAGCACTCACAAAATCTCTTTGTCTTCCTTTGCACAGGATGAGGATATTTACAAAGTAAGAACCCTGGGTCCCTGCTAGTCTCTCAGTTAAACTTCTAAACTGCTCAAGTTGACACAGTGTATCAACCACAACATCACAAAATGACAAATTTGTAAATTACTTAAAATTAAAGTCTAGGAAAATTAAATCAAGAATAGAAACATGTATACAGTACAATATCCCCTCATATATGAATCAATATAACCTGGTAATGTATTATTAGTTGTTTAATATCAAAACCAAAGAAAACATGAGTTGAAAGTGCTATCAGAATTACAGAGAACCAAAAGCCTTTTATTTTCCCTCAATTGATGACATTTAAGTGAATAAATTTTAGTGATCTATATTATTGTATTAAAGCTCTAATTCAAGGAATGTGATACTCAAAAGACTGGCTATGTGATAGAATGGATTCCTTAGCAATATCACAATATAGTATATTGAAGACTTAAAAGCAATAATGAGGGCTGGGGTTTTAGCTCAGCGGCATAATCGCCTGCCAAGCAAGCTCGAGGTAGTGACTTTAATCCCCACTACCCCGCCAATATAAATAAATAAATAAATAAATAAAAGTAATAATGAAAAAAATTAGAATATGTATTTACATATGCTTAGTGCAACCCCATGTGTCATTTCACTTATTTCTTAATAACAATTTAATTATGTGTTTTAATTTCATAGAAACAGATGGTAATATTTATTAATTATTAAATTGTCCATAAATCTTTAGATTTTCTAGACAGTTTAAACACTTGCATTTTTTTCTAAAGAATCATCTTAAATATGCTAGAGTAAGTTGACTAGAAGGAAGCAATAAACAAGTATTCTGTGACATTTCTTTCAGACTTTAGGATAAATATCTTAACACTTATTTGGTGTTTCTTTACATCATTAACTCAAGGGATTTACAACAGTAAATTTATAGGGTATCCAAGTTAATGGTGTACTGGAGCAAGGACTCAGTGTCAAGATGTATTGAGTAATGTGTGATACCCTATTATCCTGAGTCTGTCACATGACTTTAAAACTTGGAAGAACTCAGACTTCAAGTCATTTGAGATTATCCATACTCACAAGACTTCATATGTTGTGACCATTTTTGACTTGAGTTTGGAGACAGTGGGGCACTGGAACTTATGGCTTGGATCACAAGACCCCTATTTTGTTCTTATATATATTCATATATATAAATAAATAAATAAATAAATATATATAAGCTCACGTTAAATTACTATGGCACAATGTAAGTGTACTCTATTTCATACTTTTGACTATCAAACCAAAATTTATATCATTCAGCTAATATAGCAGAGCAGACTCTATGCAATTGGTTATGGGAAATGTGATAGTCCCAGCATGTGTTTGTCTATGAGCAAAGACATATTAGAAATTAGCAATGAACTAAGTTTTCCAACAGTGCTTGGGCAAAAAGGAGGGAAATTTTATTGAATAGTTTAAAAAGGGTTGGTATTTTTAATCATGAGTGGGTAAAATAGATTTTAAAATATCATATGAATATGGTCTTTTATTTTGATGTAGTAAGAAAACTATGGCACTTGTAGCCGCATCTATCCAATTCTCAACTATATGGACAAATCTTCAGAGAGGCAAGACAGAAAATTCCCTGGATAACACCATAGTCCTAAGTCACAGTCCTTGTCAAAAAATTGTACTTAAATTGCTTCCTCTTAGTTACTAAAAAGTCTGTGTAATCTAACTCAGAGCCTACTTGCTTTTATTTTATAGAAAATTATAATGAAATAAATATCTTGTTTCCAAGTCATGCATATATATATATATATGAGAAACAATCCACTATTTAAGCTTGTGTGTCTGACTTATTTCTTTATTTTTAAATTTTATTTAAAAGGAAAAAGAGAAAAAACAAAACAAAACAACTGGTATAAGAGTACAAGTAATACAGATCAAAAAAAAAAAAAAAACCAGTAAGAAATCACCAGTTAATAGATTACACATTATCATCTTAGAGATGGTTGCTCAAGTCACAGAATCAAAGCATACAAATGAACATTCAAACAGAGAGACTGCTTAATGATATGTTCTCGAGTTACACCCATTTGCTACAAGTGCCTCAAGGCTCTCTTTGCTTAAGGCAGATTAGTAAATCTTCCGTATTATCAATTTCAAAATTCTAGGCATTCAGCAAACACTACTGAACTTTACTCATAATTGTCATGAAAACTGTCCCTTTTTCATCATTCCCAATACCACCAGAATCTCAGTATGATTCACAAAATCAGACACTTAAAAACATCCTACAATAGTTTCATTTTTCCACACTCTACCTAGAATTCAAAGATTTCACATTATTCTTTTTTTTTTTTTTTTGTCTTTTTTTCATTTTTATCGGTACCGAGGATTGAAGTCATGACTGCCTGCTTGCAAGGCAGGTACTTATGCTGCTGAGCTAAATCCCCAGCCCCACAATATTATTCTTATACTTTAAATCTTTAAATAGTTCTGTAACACTTTCAAGATAAAATTCAAAACATTCACATTCCTTTGTTTGGCTTATATATTGGCAAAATTATGTTTTGACAAGATTTTAGATTCATGAAACGTCTCTTGTGCACCTGTGTGTGTATTTCCTTATAAAATCCAGGTTTAGCAAAATCCATGCTGTCAATTTTTATGAACCCCATACTTTCACTATCTGATAATTTTTGATAGTTGATTGAAGTCCTCATCCTTCAACTTTCTCAAAATGATGTTTGATCACTCTAACTTGCTTTCAGCAAGAATCTCTTTAGGTTGCTTTTGTTGCAATATACTTACTCCTGATGATTTCTGTTATTTTACATTCTTACACTGCCAACCTATACCTTAGTTTAGCATTTCTCATTTTCTACTCAGAGTTAAATTCATCCTTCTCTACAGCAAAATTACATTATAGTGGACTCTAGCAATCATTATGTTCCTGAAAATAGTTTGCCTCACATTGCATTAACAAGTATCATTCAATAATTTTTATACATTAAGTAGAGTGTAAAAGTATAATTTATGCTTCATTATTACATCCAGAAATGTAATTTGGCTTGAAGTAAATTGGAGAATCTCATGAAAACCTTGTCTGGTCTATAATTGTATTAATTCTAATGAATATTGCTCCACGATAAATTTAAAAGAATCCTACTGTGCATTAGAGGTGGAGAATATGACTTTCATTGGTATCCATTATTTGTTTTCTTATTCATTTAGCAATAGAATATATGTTTTAGCTATCGATTCTAGAAAGCATAGTATTTCTCAACTAAATTTTGCTCAGTGGAATGTGAAATGGAAATCAGGCATTTTCCAGGTGACATCAGCAAAAGATATCTTCTTGCCCTCTCTACTTGTTTTTTAACTGTTCTTCATTCTGAGAAATTAAACCCACAAAGAAAAACTTAGTACTGAGAATGGAAGAGATATTCCCTGGCTCTGAACTATTCATTTTAAATATTTCTACACGGAAGAAAGAAATCTATCTCACGCAAGGTATTTCATCTTAAAATGTTTTATAGCAGCAGTGACTATATTTCAAATAATACACTATACATGCAAATAAACCAAGAAAGTATAGTGAAATACAATGGAAGTATTACCTTGTAAATTTGAAGGAATATATCTGTCCATGCCCGTTTACTCCAGTCTTCAAATTTGTTCATATCAATAATAAAAGGGCATTTTTCCTTAGGCGTATATGAATTCACAGTTGCAATATTAGTGGAAGACTTTAAAAAATAAAAATGTTGCAACATAAATTAAATTTCAAGTCAAATATAACATTTTAATGATTTAGCGTACGATTTGTAATGCAAAACGTTTGTATGCCCTTTTTAGATATCCATCAAGAGCTGTGATTCCAAAATTATGGGCTTGTTTCTTGATTGGTACATGTATGGCAACTTGGTTTCTTTGCATGCAGAATTGACATCAAGAGCTATAATTCTCTATGTGCCAATAGTAGAGAGTATCATCACAGGTAACTTTCTGGAGCACACAGTCCATTAAGTCATAGATTTACTCAGTCAATACACTTATTAAATCACTTTGTGTAGAAGTGATAGAACAAGATGCAAAGTTCTCCTGTACCCTGAGCACAGAAAGAAACACTCCTTTTCAATTAGGCCACAGGAGTTCAGCATTGTGCCCAAAACAGACTTTCCTCATATAATGTGATAAGCATAGTGACAATAACACAACTAAGGCATATTTACCTCAAGTCCTTTAAGTTCTTGTAAAAAATATCCCTTCTGAAAATTTTTTCAAAAACTAACTTGTGTGCTTCAAGAAACTTGAACATGTCTTTCTTAATTTCTCTCTATTCTCTCTGAATAAGAGAATGACAAGTGGTGGAAGTGCAACCTGGAATTAATTATTTGGAAGATGTATGTTCTGTAACCTCACTTATGAACAAAATTAATGTAAGACTACATTATTATTCATTTGTAAATTCTTCCTAAGAAGAAGTTCAGATATATTTTAGAAAGTTACATAATTATTTTTGCTTTGTAATCTTATACACACAAAAAGAAAACACTTCCGATGAAAACTAAGTCTTTGAATATTTCACACATAAAATTCAAAGTTTCTAACTTGGAATTTTCTGACAAAAACCACATATCATTAAATTCAATAACTGTACAGATTGTCCATAGAAGTTATAGTCTCTTACTGAAATTTCAAGCCACTTCTTGTAATCATGTGGTTCAAGTAGAAATTCTGGCATTATATGGGAAATACATCCTCCTTGAGTACTAAAATTAAAAAGAAATGCCCAAGTTATAACAGTATAATGCACCTTCGTCTTAACATTTACTGAAAATATTTAATAATCTTATTTTTTGTATTTATTGAATCTTAATGTTCAAGTGTAAACATTACATGATTAATTTTAAAATATCTTAATAATGAAATATGCATGTAGTGCTTCCATTGGAATAAATACATAAGTAATACTGAACTTACTAAGTTCCCACAATCATACTTAACCGCTTTTGTGTCTTGAGTATACAGAGACATAACTTGGTCCTTTTAGTTGAAGCACTAAACATTTTATTGTTGTTATAACATTAGAAAATTGAGGAAAATCTGAAAAAGTTTGAAAACAGCAAAGTATCTAGTAGTTCACTAGAAATCTGTATGCCTTTCACTACACATGCCTAAATATGAAAAGAAATTCCAAATATAAAGTAATCCAAAAGGATATTTTTCCAAAAAGAATATCCAAAATATTGAAGTATTTTATTATATAAATTTGTAGTTGTACACCCAAAGCTGTCTAGATATAATTATATTATACAATTTGTTTGTAAAATATTTACATGTATATAATTTACCAAACTTATGATAGATATTATCTGATTGTCAAATTTTTGGAATTAACTTCATCCAAACTTTTCATATTAATGTTGATCATCATCAAAGGCAGTATGTAAAAATCTAGTACTATTTTCTCCCGAGGGTTCCCCAAAGGCAATTTGGATGTTAGGTGTAACTAATTTATTGAAGACAAAACACCATACATCAATAGAGCATTTAACAGAAAAGATTGCTGTGTGCAGTGCTCAACTCTGTAGGCACTTTCAGAAGTTCATAGTTCTTTGATCATTGAGAAATGAGGAAAATAAAAAAGCAGAAAAGAAGGTAAAAATGATACTCAAAACTCAAATTCTGAAGATATAAGAGATGAATAAACAAAGAGTATTGAGGAAGGAAACTCTTGTAGGAGTGGAAACACTGAGCATGGTTTTAGAGCTGTTAAAGTTTCATGTGGCCCTGGGCCAGTATAAGCAAATGGAAGAAATCTTGCCTAAACAAAATCTCTTTGGAAATCTAATATCATCTTATTCTCATGAACTCTCCTTATATATGTTTTACTTTAGTGTAATATAAAATTTTTTAATGTATTGTTATACTTCAGCAGGAATAATCATCTTAAAGCTTAGGTAAGAATACAATAAGATGATGTCCCTATAAAGTTGAAATTTTATAAGGGCAAACAAAGACAACACAAATATATGAAGATATTGGAATATGTTGTTGTAATCAAAGCCAAAGTAGGATTTCAGGTGGAAGGATTATATTTATAAAATTCAAGAGAAAGTCTAAATAAAAGAACAAATTAATAATTAAAGCAGCAGTTTCAGAGAAAACACTTGTTTTAGTATTCTATAAAGTCCAACACAGCGAAGCTGGGTAAAAGTTGAGCATGAGGAATGTACTTTTGCCTTTTAAATGCTAATGCTATTGTCAACATATATTTTTCACTATGAATCTATCTTAAGGTCCAACTTTATCAGTTCATAATACAGTATTCACATTTATGTCTTTTAAATAGATCTTATGCATGAACAGTACTTTTATAGAGAACTGTCTTTAATGACTAATTTGATTAAACTTTCTTACATGTCCTACTTGAATATTTCTTCAAAGTTTACACTGAATGGTTCAAATATAATTAGATGTAATCATTTATTAAATTTAAACTAATCTTCAAAAAATTTTAAATCTCACCTACTATTTAAAAACAAATTTCTCGCTGTGTATTGTATATATTTCACTTGTACAATAGCGCTCATTTACTCTGTCATCAAATTTAAGTGGTTCAGCAAATAGTATTTATGACTATTTTAAATATATAATATTTACTTCCATGATGAAAAATATATACATATCTTGGGTTAATGATCAAATTTTATTAACCATGCTGCCACTCTGTAAATGTTAAGTAATTTTGTCATAGTCAACATATGCTGATGAACACATATTTGCTGATAAAGAGAAAATAAATCTGAATGGCTTGACTTTAATGCCAGAATCATTCTTCTGTACTTTCATTCTCATATCACAAAATGTCAAAACAGAAACAATTTTTGTCAATGTCAACACTACTGGGAACTATGTCAACAAGAATCCCAGAAGCATAATACAACAGTCATAAGTACTACAGAGTTTAATGATATTCTCAGGAATTTTTTAACTCCTATAACATAAAATAAGGATTTGTATAAGCATTCAAATATTTTGTGTTCTGGATAATATTCTACTAGTTTTTAAGCATACAAATAAACTTTATGAAATATATGTATCAAATTTCCACCTTATTGAGTTAGTGGGTTTACAATATCGAATCAATCTTTAAGAATCAAAAGTAGGAAGTAGTAAATGAAAAGAAAAATCACATGCCTTCTGTTTAAAATTGTGAAAATTTCAATAAATTTGTCATTCTATCTAATAATTAACAGGACATAATTGAAAAAAACTGACTCTTTGATTGTTTTTTAATTGTCTTTCTGCATTCTTAATTTTTTGATAGTATCCTTTCTCTCTGTTTATGAACTATTTTTCATGTGACCATATGCCAGTGATGTTTGAAATAGGGATCCTATGATTTTTAGTCACACTAAGGATACATAGGTCTCAATAAGGATAAATTTTTCGTGGTAGCAAACTACATAACTGGTTGCCTGCATTTTGAATCAGTCGCCTTCAGTGACTTTTATAACTGCCTTCTAATTCATAAGAAACTTTAGCCCTTTTAACTATTATTGTAATAGTGAAAGGCAAATAAATTAAATGTTTGTAGTATTATGTCTAATTTGTAATACTTAGTTTTTATAGGGACTCAGAAATTCTGATTTGCAAATAAAAAACTGAATGTCAAATCTTCCATTAGCATTGCTGCTCTAGGAGTCCTCCTCTTGTCCTTTATTCCCATGCCTGCTAAGGTAGATAAATAAATATCGCTAGTCAGATGTCAGACAGATTCCATAGGCAAGGAAGCAGAAGAGAAAAACACACTATTATATTTCAAAACACATTAACTCTATTACATAAATAATTATAAGTAACAAATGCTACATCAGTGGTTAAAGAACATGCAGGTAATGGGTAACAGTACTTCCTATGCATAGGGGGTATTTCTGTGAACAAAAATCCTATAAATACAGGCCAAAGAAGCAATCTAAATTCGGCAACACTTCCTTCAGAAGTTTAATGAATACTACTTTTCTATTTCTTAGTCATTTACAATTTAATCTCTGCAAAGGAACACAAATATTAGAATGATGAGCATCTTTCTTAGAGTTTATATCAACCATGCTGGAACTTTTCATCTGCCTATTATTTTATTATTACACTTTACTCACTGCCTCCACAATATGAGATTATACAAACAGTATTTTAAGGAACACAGTTTACTGATTTCATTACTTTTTCATTCTATTAAATTATATGATATGTATAACTTAGATGAAAATTTTCAAAACAAAGTCATGGATCAACAATACTCATGTTACCTTGTAATTTATTATTAGTGCAAGTTAAATAATAAAGATAACCATATTACTAAGTTTTTGTTGGATCACTGAACACAACTGTTTGCAGTCTCACTGTTTGAATGTCCACTTTGTATGCTTAAACCTGTACTTGAACAACTATTTCTAAGATGACAATATGTAATCTATTAGGTGATGATTTCTTAATGTCTATATTTTTGAAATTCTGTATCACTTGTATCCTTATACTGTTTTGTTTTTTTTCCCTTTAATTAAAAAAATAAATAATAAGGTCTTTTTAAGGGCTAGAAAAATGGGCTCAATACCCCCACACAGTGATTTAGATATATAAAACGTTTGAGAATAACTGTTTTAGAGGATAGATCAAATGGTCATGGAATGTTTATTTTTTATTAAGGATTATATATTTTCCTGTGATGTGCAATACAATGCGTGCAACTATTTGATAAAAAATGATTTCAAACATTATCTTCATATCCATCTATCCATTCAGCCATCTATCTGTACATCTACCTATCTATTGAAGTTGTAATTACATGCTGAAATTATTATACACATGCACTTACTTGAGAAAATCCAGAAGTGAAGAATATTGAAAATGAAGCTGAATCACCCTTTCAGTGTCATCCACAGGTAAGGACTGACTTGAGCTAATTCCAGGTGGCAGTATACCACTCAAGTGGAGCAATACATCATAAATGGTTTTATTGTACTTGGAAAAATCATTCTGTCTGGAAAATTTCTTTGGTGATGAGGCTGAGTAAAATTGTATTTTTTGCACATCTCTATGGGAAAAAAGACTAAGTTAAAAATCAGCGTTGAAATATTACACAATGAAAGAAAGTTCAATGACTAAAGTCCTATTAAGTTTAACTAAAGGATTCCAAAATGCACTATATTCAGTTATCATTTGTTATTCAAATTCAATATTAAAACATTCTCAGATTTCTAGGGTCTCATTTAAACACACATTGTTATTTCATACTGCAATTGTAAAGCCAGAACTGGCCTGAGAACAGATTGCATTTGAAAAGGAGAACAGAGATTGGCTCCTGTGCTAGTCACTTACTTGCAGAGTAAATATGGCATTAAACTCACTGAACTATATATTTTGTGTGCTATAAATTGAAGTTAATGACTACAATAGTTTTCAAGTTAGATCTCAAACTTTCAGCATGAAAATGTATACACTAATAAGTTCATACATATTTTCTTCATATTTGCATTTTAATGTTCAGAAGGGCATCACCTTGTACACTGGCTTACTGAGTAAGGATTCTGATCTGAATTATCAGTTTTGCAGATCTACTATTCCCACATGTCTCTTTATATTGTGAATAAGAAACTGAAATCTATATTCACTAGTACTACACACAAGGTTGTGATGCTTGATAGTATTCAAATGAAGTAACAAATTCCAACTTATATTTGCTTAATATAGTATTCATGAAATGTTGCTAAATATCTAGTGTCATATAATCTAATTATTTGTTAGTAATCAGAATCGGTATGTCAACAGCAATACTGAAAAATAAAGAATAAAACATGAGCCATTTCAAAGTGTAGTCCTCTTAATTTTGGCAGAAAAGAGGTCTTTTACAGCATAATATAGGAGAAAGTGCACTGGATAACAGCTAGATTAGCATTGCTCAAACCTGACTCTGCTATCTATTGACTGACCCTACAAACGTTACTTAACATTTATTTCTTCATCATCCTCAAAAGTACTGAATATAACAGAACTAGTGTGTCCTGAAATTACTAACAAAGAAACAAATATTTTGTGGGGAAAACTAACACAATTAAAGACCAATATGAAAATTTCTATTTCTGTATTCTAACAGAAAATAAAATAAGAATCACAGATTCACAAGGTATTATAAATATAAGACATATATTTTAAATTACTGGTGTGTGCTGCATTCAAGATTAGTTACTTTATCATTGAGCTACAAATTGCAGAAAAATTTACCAAACAGAAAATTTAGAAATTAAAAAATACAATGAAGGAAAATGAGAAATTAATGAAAGAACTTAATAACAAATTGAATCAAGTAAACAGAGTTATCACATTAGAATAAACATCAAGAAAATATCCATGCTGGGATATAGTGAGAATAAAGGATGTAACATATAGACAAGTGAATGAAGAAATGAAGCCAGAAAGAATAGAGAATTTAAATGATTTGGAGGTTTATTGGCTGAGAACTTTCCAAATGTGTCAATATAAAAAATATCAAATCATATATAAAAGAATCACTATAAGTAAAGCATCTAGGAAATCATAGTGAAGATGCTAAAGTCCAAATATAAAGCAAATAGCTTGAAAGTATTCAAAAGATGATAATGTATTAATTAAAAGTCTAAAGAGAATTTTTTAAGGAAAAGGAAAACATTCTCTCTTGAAGGAAGACAGATGATGCAGAAGAATGGAGAACAACCAACAGTCAAGTTGGTAAATATGTCAGTATTTCCATATATAAATTAATACAATATTACATAGATGTCTGTTTCTATGTTCTACTTTGTGTGTGTAATTACAAAACACAAAAGTAGTAACACATGTCAATATGGAAAAAAGACTAAATACAAGAATTACTTGTAATATCAAGGGAAAATTTATGAATCATTAAATGACTAAAATCAAGAATGTATGCCACAATGTGCAATACAATCTTGGAAATAATAAGAAAAACTCGCTACCAAACAAGTAGAGGATAAATCATGAAATGTGAAAAGATGTATTTATCTTTTAAACTCAAGAGAAGGCCAAAGAGAACAAAAAGGGAATACACAGTAGACAAGAAGATAAAGGCCCTTAAAAACATTGCAAAATGAAAACCCAATTTACAACAATTACACTTATAGGAAGCAAAAGTTCACATTATGAAAAGCATATTGAAAAAATAAGAATGAAGAAAGCTCAAGGTCAAGTATGTCTAAAAAAGAGAGAGACAATCAAAAACGCAGAAAACTGTCAAATGTGGTGGTGGAAGCCTGTGGTCCCAGCACTTGATACAGTGAGGCAGGAGGATCACTGTGAGTCAAGACCAACCTGGGCTACATAAGCGAGCTCAAGGCCAGCCTGCACTAATAGTGACAGCCTGTGTCAAAACAAACAAAGAAACAAACAAAATTACAGGAAGCAGAGTGATTGATACAATGAAAAATACTATATAAACAACAACCAGAAAATAAGTACTATAATAATATTCATGTGAGCAGCATAGCACTTAGGTCACAAGGCACAAAGGAATTTAATACACATAAAATTTTGCATAATACCAAAAAAGACATTAAAATTTCTCATCTGAAGCTATTTGCTAACAATTTTAAAATTGTATGAATAAAATAGGTTTCTAAAAAGTAGCTAAATGTACAACTGAATTTACACATTTCGCCACAGTAATTGGTGTCAATAGTAATTGGTAGACAATTTTAACAATGACTTAAATTCTTACTACTTCAAGAGGAAAAATAAGTAAACTTGGTTTAATATTACACCAAAAATAACATTCAATAGGTGTTAAATACTTGATATTAGCAAACCAGAGTCCTGAAGAATTATTGAAAAATAAAATTATACATACTAAGTAAAATTTAATAGAAAACAGAGGAAATGAAGGAGACAAATAAGACAGTAAAAGACAAAAAGGTTAAAAAGCATAAAACATAATTGAGAGAGACATAAGGTGCTAATGAAGCAGTTCTAGTAGTCTTCCAGTAAGAGATTAAGGAAGAGACCATAGTAAAAGGAGAGGGAGTAGAAAAACAGAATTACAAATGATCAGTTTTCCAGATGGCAGGGCCTATTGAATGTCAAATAAAACAAAGGATGCAAAAGATTCCTATGTTCAGAATTTAATTTAATTTAATTTAATAGATTGAAAAAAATAAAAGATTAACAAAAAGTCTAGAGGAGACAAAGAATAAACATGTTACTCTCAAATATGTCATTAGAAGTCTCATCAGAAACACGAGGATTTCAGATGATGGCATAGTACAGGGTGATGTTAAAAAAGAGATGTAGGAAGTGAGACATGGCAAAGATGGCTGAGGAAATAAGTTGGACTTGTCAGTCACAAGATTCCAGGACAGTGTCGAATAATTCCCAAGATCCAGTATGTGGAACTTCTCGGGATCTCCTACAAAATGTGGATGATGTGTGTAAGGACACAGATGCCAGGAGAAACTGCTATGATGACACTTCATGGTAGCTCACTCTGCCACCCAGACACAGAGTATATTATTATTTTTGCTCTTTTTATCTTCTTGTCTCTTGCTTAGCCCAAGTTCACTCTGCAATGTCAGTTTTTTCCTTGCGTCTTTACCCTGCACATTTCTAATAGATTTTCAGCATCATTTTTGGCTTGTCTCATCCAGTTCATTAGTTGAGCCAAGAAGGACCTGGAACACACTTAATCCATGAGCCAATTCTAAAGGAGAAACCTGAAAACAGCAGGGTTCGAACACTGACAATACATGACTTTGGAGGTCTCTTTCAGACTAAATTGGATGACTCACAAATTCCATCAAAAGATATGGTACTGAGTAACTTTGTAACCTGGAAACATTAACTTTTATTTGACATTTTATGGTTGTGAGAAACTTGTCCTCTCAAGGCTGGATAGGATTCCTGCTTATGCACAAGTGTGTTTTTCCAGGCAGTACTCAATGATGTGAATTTGTTTCTTGTTTATTACAATAGCACAGTACAGATTTTCAAACGTGACAGTACTCAACATTATCAGGAAACAAAGACTGATAATGTATCATATCAGTGGGGTTAAAATAAAGGGGATTTATTGGAAAATCATCGCTTAAAAGATTTTGAAATACTTGGGATATTTGGTCTCATGATCCCATCTCTGAAAAATTTTGTGCTTAAAATCCAGAACTGTCTGCTACTGTTTATAAGTAACTGCATCCATCTGTGTTATGACAAACAAATGACACAATATCATAAGTAAATGACTTGTAATTAATGTGAACTGGCAAGTAGGTAATAGTGAAAGTAAATAATAATAGAACAAATTATCAATCAGTATTTCAATTAAGAACATAAAAAGTCAAACTATTTTTATGAACAATGCAAAAACAAAAGAAATAAAGGTATTTAGTAGTAAAAATTCTCGGATGTCACTGAAGCGTAATAAAGAGATACAATTTTGAATTTAAATGTAATTAATCATATAATTATTTTTAAAAATTATGATTAAATTCAGCATTATATGACCTAGAGAACAGAGAAGTATATAATTGAATGAAAAACTTCTTCCCAATGTTAAAAAATAAATGACTAATACTTAAAATTAAGAGAAAAAAATATATATACAACTGCAATTATAAGTAAGAAAGAGGCTATAGCTTCTTTCAGGGCAATTAAAAAGAAAGACTAGTCATAATTTTTGAATCACAAGTTTGAAATGCTTACTCAGTGATTTCTCTCAAAATGAAAAGAAATCATTAAGGTGTTAAAAATTTAATTTTTATTCAAAAGTTGTAAAATAGTCACTACAACGCACACTAAAGCAGAAAACTAAAAAGTTATAAAAAACTAATTTCTCTAAAAACTCTCTGGGCCCAGATATTTTATATTTGAACTTTGAAATTTTTAGTAGTTCTGTTGAAGTAATTTTCTTATAACATGGACAAAGAATAAATACTAGCTAATTCAATCAATCAAGTGAAAATTGTCTTATTAAAGCATCTAAACATATAATGTAACAGAAAAATATTTATTTCCTTTAATACAGCTTGTCCTCAAATAAAGATAAAAATTCTAATTAGTCAATACAGCTTTTCATATCAGACAAAATTAAACCTCAGATCAAAAAATTATAGAAACAAAATTATGGGTTCAGATTCAGAAAGCTTTTTTCTAGAAATTAAACTTTTCAATAAAACAAAATATTTTTAGTTAGGACAAATTGTGAACATATAAAAAGACTTCATCATACTTTTGTCAAAACTAACTTCATAAAAGCAGACTCAAAAATTCTAACTGTACTCTCCCGACGTGCCTACAAGATACTTCAGTGCTGAGAACGGAAATAGCAAAGCTCTAAGATTCAACTATACCAGCAACGTTAGAATGAGGAAAGTGCCTAAATTCCTGTTTTAATGACAAAAATAAATGATCTTATACAGCCAAAGCAGTTTACTTGGTGTAGACAAATTGAGTAATAATATAAGACTTGAAAGTAGTGAGATAAGTACACTGCCAAAGAGGAAAAAGATTAAAGAAAAATGAATCCTCTGTTTTTACAATTACCACCATCTTTCCAACTGACTATATTTTGGATCTAGCACAGATAGCTTGTTTATATTGCAATGTGTAGATTACAAACTTTTAAATTTAGAAGAATTTTTCTACTCGTGATTTACTCTTTCTCAATTCACAGATTCAGAAACTGAAATCCAGGTATTTTCAATGGAAAATATTAGATGTCTTATATTACATGAAGTCTAACATTTTAAGAGGTCTGGAAAATATGTAAAAGTACACTTAGAATAAAAAACCTTATATTCGTATATTTTTAATCTTCTCAATAGTGTTATAATTAATCAGTTTAGAATAAATTATTTAACACTGTGCTTCACTTAAAATGATCTCAAATATATAGATTATATTTTAGAATAAGATGCCAGCAAGGCATTTAGGATGAAAAAAAGCAACTGTCACCTTCTTATAGTCTCTGGAATGGAAAGTAAATGAGGTCCTTCAGGCCAACCAAAGAGACTGAACCACGTCTGAGCTGCATTTACAACTTTCAGATAGAAGTTATGTTCCATAGATCCTTCTTTAGGAGAAAAAAAATGTTCAGTTTTTTCCTCATTTTCCAAGGATCCATCATTCGCTTTATTAGGTTTTCTACTTCCATCCACATTCAAATGTTTGGGTAATTCTTCCATTCCTAAAAATCAAATCACACTTGTTTATAAAAAGTGATTACATGACAATAGAATAAAAGCTATTTGTGTGTAGACAAATTAACATCTATTTCTATAAAATCCTATGGTGTTAAAATTTGTGTCAAATTTCTGTATTTAAAATGTATAAAATACTCTGATTTTCACTTACTCAAAATATTTATAAATAATAAATTTTATTGAAGAAAACACTTCCGTTTAATTTTTGCCATAAAAGTATGTGAAAATATGCCCTATAATAAAAATGTCATGACAAGTCTTTGGCTTCAGATTCAGAAAAATTTTTGTTCTCCAAATCAAGCATTTCAGTAAAATAATATATGTTAGGGAAATTCTCAAAGATCTGAAATTATTTAATCATTTTGTGCCAAAATAATTTCATAAAAGCAGGCTTATTAGAAACCTCACACTACTTTGGTTTGGTCCATTCAATTAAAAGGAAAATATTAAATATTATTCATAACTAAGGAAAGTAATATTTGAGTATTTAATTTCAAATAGTAGCAAATTAATACATTTATATATGATCTCCACTATCAAAGACAGGTAACCTTAGATTTACCAAAATAATGAAATGGCAAATCCCTAATTCTATAGATCCTAAACTGTGCACAAAGGATACCTGTAATTTTGGGGATCTAGAAATTACTTAATTTTAAGTAACTTTATTTAAATATTACTGTCTCATCTGATGGGCTATACACAAACCATTATTCCTAAGTTTTAGTACAAGCCCACTTAATAAATGTAACTATCTGATACCCATTTTGACCTACAGAAAAGTACTAAGTCATTAAGGGGGCTGTGAAATTAGAGAGCTTGTGCTATTGATCATTAGAGAACATTTCCAAAAGAGCTGACCCCCTTAAGACTGATTACAAATTCATAGTTTTTGTTATGAAATTTTTTCTTGAAGAAGCTTATACTTTAAATGAAAAGAAAATACAATTACATCGTGGAGTGAATTGGAGAAGTACAGTAAATATTTGCCACATACCAACAAATAAGTTTTCTCTTTTAAATTGTGCATGGTATAATTTAGTACCAGTAGGTGCCATTTTTACTGAAGCAGGCGTGAGTGCTGTAGAAGCCAAGTTAGGAAGCAAAAAACTGCCTCGGGTCTTCATAGAACTTCCATTTGCATCTACAAATGACATATTGGACCACATTAAGTTACAAAAGATTTTAAGAATTCATTACTAAATTATTTAACTCAAATTTCTTAATTATGTTCAATAATCCATTATCCATTAAAGAAGATGATGAATAAGAAAAAGTAAAGCAAGATTTAGTTTTCAAGACTGAATAAAATTTACTTGATAAAGGAATTGTTTAAAGAAAAGGAAACGAAAAAAAAATACATGGAGATTAAAAAAAAGGGTAGAAATAATACAAAATTACAGACAAACAAAAGGTAAGAAATTGCCGGTTGATAAGTTACACATTGTCATCTTTGAAATAGCTATTCAGGTTATAGAATTAAAGTATTTAGAATGACATTCAAAAAAGTGACCCTACAAACCATTCTGTTCTATGATCGAACAAAAGCTCAGTAATATGATTATCAGTCCTACACATTTGTTTTACATCTCAAAGAGGGTAAGATTAACCATATCAAAACAGAACAGAACATTTAAAAAAAAATAAAAAGCAATTTAAAGAAATACAGATTTCAAAGCAAGTCCACTGGAGATCTTCATTATCTAACTGTCTCTACCTTCTTACAAATAGTTGTCCTTATCTTCACCCACTTTATATACTTATTGCATATTATAGAATTAATCAAATCATTACAGGAAGATGAAGTCTTTTTAGGTCCTCAAGTTCCAAATTAGGGAAGACAATAGCAACTACCATCGCATCTCTCATTCTCTTTGTGATAGCCATCCCCATCTCTGCATATGCTAAGTTGAACTCAAGAAACCAGTCCAATGTCATTCTAATCAGCAAACAATAGATTGCTAGAATTTATATTATAATGCTACAAAATAAGCCTCGGGTTTCTCAGCGTCTCTTCCTCAGAGTATTTGTTCCTTACATCTTGCATTATATAATCTGTTCCCGTAAATAATTTAAGAAAAAAAAAACATGTGTGAATTTCTACCTATACATCTATCCTCTCTGTATTATAGGGAAAACCAAGTCATAGCAAGACAGCAAAACAATTTCCTAGAAAAACATGCAATGGATAAGACATATAAAACTACAATATAAATGATCTTCCGTAGCTACTATGTTTTCTCTTGTTATTTTCAATAGATTTGTCCACAACACTGGCTTATTATAGTTAAACATACTATCACCTATTTTTATAAAAACTTAACTTTGACTGCATTGTAGGATTTGAGAGCTGTTACTGATTCATACCAGTATGGATATCCTTTACATCTTGTCAAGTAGTTTCCTCTACTTTTAGGGTTGATTCTAACAAGCATACCAATTTCAAATAGAATCAGTCAAGACCAACCAATAGTCTTATGATTCAGATACAATTAAGATCAGTCATAGTAAGACAATGTAAGTAATACAGGATTTCAGCCTAAGTCAATAGGAAAGTAAGGATAGTTACCATGGTATACCTGCTATTTTTGGTTCTAGAGGTCTGTGTCCTCAAATCTGACATGAGTGGACAGACCAGAACAAATTTAATTCAATCTAAATATGGCACTAGGACTACTGTGTCTTTTAAATCGTTATACACCATTAGCAATGACCTCTGCTTTTTTTTTTAAAATATCGTTTCAGAGCTGTCTATACTAAAGACTAGCTTACCGTCTCTGCCTCATGTCTGCTACTCCACTTTTCTGCTATAATTTGTCCACCTTATTCCCTCATTCCATTGTCTGCCCCGTTCACTGAGGCCTCTCTGCCACTGTTGCTGGAATCCTGATATCTCTTCCTCTCTTTCTCTGTAATGTCCTTCAGCGCTCTCTGTAGGGTTGGATTGGTGGCCACGAACTCCCACAGTTCCTCCTTGTCTTGAAAGTATCTTATTTCTTCATTAATTTTTAGAGAGAGTTTTGATGGATATATGAACTTTGGTTGCATATTTTTTTTCTTTCAGGACTTGGAATATTTCTCCCCACTCCCTTCTTGACTTAAGAGTTTGTGTTGATAAGTCTGCTGTTATTTTGATAGATTTCCCGTTATAGGTAACCTGCGTCTTTTCTCTGGCTGCTTTTAATATTCTGTTTTTTTTGGTGGATTTCTGGGATCTCGATTATTATATGTCTAGGCGTAGATCTGTTTTGGTTGTAGGTAGCTGGTGTTCTGTATGCTTCTTTTATCTGGATATCATTTATTTTTGCTATCCATGGGAAATTTTGCTTTAATATATCTGTGAATATTTTTTGTATTTCATTTTTGGATGTTCCTGCTTCCTCACTCACATTCTTTATTCTTAGGTTATGTATCTTTTTGTCATCTTCCAGTTTTAGAATTGCTTCTTTCTGGTTCCTTGTATTTTTAAGAGGCTTTTTCTTTCACGTTCATATGCCCTAAATCTCTCTTCAAGTTTCAGAAGGCTGTCTTTCATTTCTGTCAAGGCATTTTGCCAATGTTCAATGGAGTTTTTAGTTTCCTGATATTCTCTTTGGATCTGTTTCATGTATTCTAAGTTATGCTTAAATTCTTCTTCAGATGCTTCTCTTTCTTTTCTGATTTCCTCAGTTCTTCCATCTGTGTTCTCTTGGGCGGGGCTTGTCATTTCTTTAATTAATCCCTTTATATTTTGCCTCACTTGGATCAGGAGTACAGCTTTAAATTCCTCTATGAGATCATGTAGGTACTTTTTAATTTTGGCTGATGCTGTGTCGAGTAGTGGATGGTTACTGTGATTGTTCTCTTCGGTGTTTAGTTCTCCTGGGCTTATTTTTCCTGTTGGGCAGCTGGAGATTTTTTTTATTTTTATCTCTTGTCATGTTTCTGGTTTCTTTCAGACTGTCCTGGAGTTCTCTGGCCCTCTCCGAATTGCTTAGGGCCTTTCAGAAGGGTGCTGGCTTGAGTTTTTGCTGTCCTCCCCAATTTACTGTTATCTGGGATAGGCTGGGATGCAGGGGTGGTAGAGGCTAGTCTCTAGACTCTGTGCCAGTTAGTTCCTAAATTAGGCTGTACTTTCTGGTTGTCACTGAGTTGTGACTATTTTGTATCCGCTTATTGTGCCCCAAGCAGAGCCCCAGTAGCTCCTGCCAGTTCTCTTTGTACCAGAAGCAGCTGAGTAATGTCACTATGGCACAGGGTTCTGCCCAAATCCCAGCCATTCTCTTCCAAACCTCTGTGACAGGAGCACCAGAATAGCAGATCCACCCAAAACCAAGATGTCTCCCACTAAGTTCTCTGTGTGGAGCTGAAGCCAGCAAATAATCAGGCTCTGCCAGGATTCAAGATGTCTTCCACCAGCCCTCCCTACGGAACCTGGTGATGTCACCATGCTGCAGTTTCTGCCGCCAGGCTAAAATGTCTGCACCAGACTCTGTGTTATTGATTTCCCCGTGGTGGTGGGCCAGCTGTTCTCTGGCCAACCCCAGCAGCCGCAGGGTTCCCGGTACTCACCAGAGTCCGGTGCAGGTCCTCATTCCGGGACCACCGCACACCAAGCTGCCCACCTTTCCCGCACTCCCGGCACAGCGCTGAACGGTCAGATATCTGTGCACCGTTTAGATTTGAAACGCAAGAGCTTTGTACATCTGCTCTGGTGCAGCGGTGCAGTCCTGGCTGTTACTTGGAGTCCCGGCCTGGGTCTCAGTTTCCCGCAGTCCCCAAAAGCAACTCAGCTTTTCCTGCTGGGTCCACGGGTCAGTTTGTTGATTTAAAGGCGCAGGATTTGTAGCCTCCCGTTATCAGCATTCACGGTCTCAGCACGACTTTATTTTATTTTATTTTATTTTTATTTAAGAGGAAAAAGAGAAAAACACAAAACAAACCAAAGCGGCGTAAGGGTACACGCAATCCAGAACTACAAAAAAACAAAACAAAACAAAACAAAACAAAACAAAAAAACATAACAGTAAGAAATCACCTGCTAGTAGATTACACACTATCTTCTTGAAAATAGTTCCTCAAATCACAGTATCAAAGAACACAAGGTGGACATTCAAACAGGGAGACTGCAAACAGCTGTGTTCAATGTTCCAAAAACATTGATAAAGTCAGCTATTTAACACCCCCAAACACACTTGCTGTTATATCCGTTAGAGCTCTTTTTCTTTTTTTTTTTTCCCTCTCTTTTTTACAACAAAATTTACACATCTTGGATTTTATTACTCCTTAGTCAGCACGACTTTAAATCCTCCAGCTGTACTGTCTTGGTTAATAAGAATCGCTATCGATTTGTCTGGCCCTCTCCATGTTGTCATTTTTTAGCTTCTAGTATGAATTCTCCGGAGGGACTCTTCGCTTGATCCCTTAGCAAGCCGCTATTTTGAAGACCGATAAAGGAATTGTTATACTATAATTATAGCCATTACAGAATGAAGTGTTCAAATTTCCCGTAATCAAGAATATGTGAAATATTTTTAACATTTCTTCTACACACCTTGTTAAAAATAAAATATAAGAAAAAGGTTGAGAACGAAAGTAATTTTTTTAGTTAATTATCTAAAGTGAATTCAGATTGGTAATATGCTAAGAGTCATAGATGTTAATCTGTATTTCAATGAGAATTCTATGGAAACATCACAGTTTTCTAAAGTGGAAATTTCAGTACCGCCAAAGTAGTGGTGGTTAAGAAAAGCCAGTAGCTGTGACCTAAAGCCAGGCATCAAAATGTACCTTTAAGTTGCACACATAAACACACAGAGAAGTTTATGTATGTATTCATCATCTATTTTTTTTTCTGTGTAGTTGCAAAGATCTTATTTGAAAATTTGGCACCAATATTCCTGAAAAGTAAAACTGTGGTCATGTTATACAAATCCTCAGGAGCATGTATTTTTACATGCTCCTGAGGATTTGTATGCATGAGGAAAGCAGAGATCCTGAGTTCATGAGTTTCTTGTGAGGGATTACTTTCAAGGCATTATTAAATATGAATGTATCAGCCCATGTTAAATTTCTTCCACTCTTTCTATACAAAGCCATTCAGAATTTTCCGAAGGACATTTATTCAATAAGTACACATATGCCCCAAATCTACACTACCATACTTCTTAGAAATGAATCTTAGAGAATCCAATGATAGAACAATTTACACACAGCTAATAATGCTGCCTTCATTTTTTATATTCTTAAAATAAAGATTTCATCTTTATACAACATATAATCTACAGCACAGTCGCTATATATTTAAATTTCGAGGTTCCAAAAATTTCATTTTTATTCCCTAGAACAACCTGCCCAAACCTTCCATCAGTCATATTTTTAATCCATAAAATGATATATATAAGACTATTTAACTTAGAATTTTTCACATGACTAAATCTAACAATGAAGTTAAAACAGTCAATGTAACTGTGAAGCATTAACTGTACATATTGTTTTCTGGAAAGGTATTATGAAAACATATAAGCAATAAAGGAAACAGTCAGTTATAAAAGTAATCACAATATAATTTTATATAACAATAATATACTCCAGGTATTCATAGTCAATGAGTGCTCACAAAAGCTCTTTGAAACAGATAAAATGAATATTAGTATCCAGTTATTCTCTTGCAACATGCATGTTGTATAATAAAAGATAATAAATTTGATTATCTGAAAGTTTACATTAAAATTTTATGACCAAATAATAGGATTGGAACAGAAAAGAGAATTTCCATCAGGTTTTAACTCGAGCCATTGTTATTCATTTATATTTTTATTAGAAATTCTCACTCACCTATATATATATATAAGAACTATAAAAATACATTATTTAGAAATAATCAGAAAAATCTTTTAAATGTTTAACATATATGTTTTAATTTTGAGATGTATCTCTTCATCTCGCCAAGTAAATTTCCATAAATAATATTTTGATGTCCAGAATGTACTAGAATATAAATAACCCATTCTCCAATGAAATATATAGTTAAGAGATGTCTTTCTACCATATTTCAAAATTCAGACAACCCAATATACAGTGCTAAACAGATAATCTTTATCTACAAGACACCACATAAGTATTGTAGACCCAAAATTAAAAAGGATAGAGATATCTCTTGCTTTCACAGACTTTAAAGATACCAAAATATAGAAAGGAACATAGACAGGCATGTTAAGTCAAAGTATGGTAAAGCCATGATGGGGAAATTTCACAGACTCTTAAGCTATACCAGAGACATGAAAACGTCATCCACTTGGAAGTATGGATCTTCTTAAGTACATGGAAATGTGGAAACATATAGTTTGATAGGAAGAATGCTCATCTTGAAAAAGAAAACCAATCATTTTTTTGTTTTGTTTTGTTTTTTACCAATAAGGCTCTAGATACTAGAATAATTCATAGAATATTAATGTGGCTTCAAAATACTAGGAAAGATGTCCAGAAATGAAAGTGGAGTCATTGACTGGGGACATGCCAGATGAGGTTTTATATGCTTCATCCTATCAGCAATGATATTCTATAAAACAATTTATGCTTAGAAGCTCTAAGATTTAATTTCCAATTTATAAAGATTCCACAGCTACAGTGTGAGGAATCGTGTGTGTGTGTGTTTGTGTGTGTCTGTGTGTGTGTGTGTGTAGGGGCCAGAATATTAGAGGGGCAAAAGAACGATTTAGAAGTCCCTCAGTGATACAGGGAAAATATGGTCGCTTGAATACATGTAGTAATAGTAGAGGGAAAAAGTAATAAAAAGGATATAAGAGGGATTTAGAAGACAAAGTGAAGGGAATCAATGACCTGAAAGTGAAGTATGAGAAAAAAGATACCATTAAAGATGGCACTCAGATTGCTGAAGTGATCACATGATAGATAAGAGGTACAGTATCTGCAGAGATGGGGCAAAAAGAAAGACAAAAGTATTCAGATACAACATTTTAGTTAGAGTCACGTTGCTTTGAGAGTGTGGATATGAATTCAGTGAAAGGTGTCCAGACATTAGCCTAACTCTGTATTCCTGAATCTATGAGAGGTTTGTGGGTTGAACATATAGCTCATTAATTGCAGCTGAAGTCATGAAAGGGATAATGGAACTGGGATCAAACTCCAACTGAAGGAAGATTATGGAAGGAGGGGGATAAATTCATAAAGATGCTTAGAAGGAATAGTCAGAGAAGTTAGAAAAGACACAGAAATAAGGCATGTGGAAGTCCTAAGAGGGTTCAAACAAATGGGTGGAGCCATGATGTTCAAGGCTCTACACAAATGTCATCTCTTCCATACAGCCATTCTACATGTCCAACATCAGTAATAACCTCTAACACCACCACCAGAGTCAACACTTCAACTGTCTCAGAGCTCTTAATCTTCTTCATAATACTTAATTTATCTCCTTTTACAAGTTTCTCAGCTTTAGGAACTGAAAAACACTGTCATATTCCACTCTTCATAATGTTGTCTTAGAAATGAAAGATGTTTACTAAATGTTTGTAAATCTGAAAGTCACTTTACTTACATATGGTACTCTTGGACTACAAGAACATATACAATGAGACTTAGAAGGCTATCACATGTAACTTACCATCTTTTAAGATAATATTTTGCTTATCGAAATAAGTTGCCAAATATGGATAAATAGTAAGAATGCAGTTTTCTGCTGTTGCAGTCACTGGGAGTGAAAACCTAAAAGCAAAAACATTGCATTTCAATACATTAAAAAATTCAGATGCAATAAATATAATGAAACATTTCCAAGTATCCAAGTGCCTTAATTGATAAAGAAACAAATTATTCATCACTTTTTCCTTCCATATAATTTGTTTGTTAACCACCTATTATATCTATCCAATGGGCTTTAATGCTTTTAAAGTTTTAAGCAAAGATAACAAATTTCACTGTCAAATGTGCCCTAAAGTATAAATTGTGACTTTTTAGGCTTACAATCAGAGGTTCAAGAAGTTTCTGACTTTAAGTGGCTTCAGAGTTAATTTACTCATACCAATGTTTTTTAAATTGATTATCATCTTACACAAAGATGCAATCATAATTCCATTATGGAAACAAAATCATAATCTTTGTTTTAACAGAGGTTACATGAGCTAAGTAGACAGGAAAGGGAATAAAATTTTTCTTTTTTTTTAAAATTAATTTTATTGGTACATTTTTGAAATAAATAATGATCACATTCATTGTAGGGAATTTGTACCTGTATATAATGTAATTTGATTCTTCTTTTTTACTCTTTCTTCTCCTTTCCTTTAAACTCTCTGCTTATTATTTACAAAGCTTCATTCTGTTTTCCTTACATTGTTTTTTTTCTCCTTTCCTCTTTCTTCTCTTCTCAATGCCCCTCCCTTGTTGCCATTCCCATAAGAACATTTTCTTCCTACTTCCTAATATCTATCCTCCACTTTGTTCCTTATTATTAATTTTGGCTTTTCACACAATAAAAACAATGCACTATTTAAACACATGTCCAATTTATTTCACTTAAATGTATGACCGCAATTGGCATCCGTTTACCTAGAAATGTTTCAAATTTATCCTTTTTTAAGGCACTTTAGTACACAACCATATGTGAATATCATATTTTCTTTATCCATTCGTTTGTTGAGGAGTTTCTGAGCTGTTTCTAAAATTTTGGTATTAAAAATTGTGCTGCTATGCACATGGATGTGTGTATTTTACCATACTATGGTGCTTTTATATAAATTTTTATTGTTTTTTTTTTCATTTTGTAAAAGTACTTTGCTGAATATTATGGCATTTGATTTTACAAGTTCTTCAGGTTAAAGATAAAATAATGATAAACCTTAAAACATCAATATTATATATATATATATATATATATATATACATATATACATGATTTAACTGTATTCTTTGTTTCAGGAAGTACATAATACATATATTGTACAAGTTACACAAAGTAGAAATACAGATGTTTCATTCACTGATACTATTAAAATAGATTAAAAGCAAAAATAAGCTAGAGTTTGATAATAATGATGCTACGTATCTTAAGAAAAATATTTCTTGAACAATAGACCAATATTTGGTACCTCACTAGGGAATGGTGGCAAGTGTCAAGGCATATAAAGAGGAACCAACGAGGGTAGATGATTTACTTTAAAATCATATTACTCTGACAGTTAAATGTAAAGATATGCTAGCATTATGCGTTTCAATCCCATTCTGGGTTTTAAATAGCAATCTTCATGCATGAATGAATTTAAAATGGTTCCACTAGGCAAAAATCATGAGAAACATTCTTGGCAACAAAAAGGGTGATGATACAATGTGGCTGAGACAAAACTGATGATAATTGGATTTCACTATTTGTAACAATGTTCCTTCCGATCAATGATACTGAATTTAATAATTTGCTTGTGATAGTGTCTACCAGATATTCGACATCTTCATTTGTTTACATAGCAGAATTTTTAAAATTCAACAAAAATACAATTTGGATACCACAAAATCCATTCTCCCTCCCTCCGTCTCTCCAAGTATCTCTCTCTTGAGATACTGAGAATTAAACACAGGGTTTTCACACTGAGCAATATCCCATGAACTTTTATGTAAATTATGAGACAGGGTCTAGCTATGTAGCTAAGTTGCCAAAGCTGGGATCAAGCTTTTTATCCTCCTGCCTCAGTCTTCCAGAGTGACAGCATCACAGGAATTTGCCACAGTAAAATTTATCTCTTTAACAAGTGCCATTAAGCTTTCTTTTAAAGTCATATTCACAGTGGAGCTGGGGATTTAGCTTAGCGGCATTAGCGCCTGCCTTGCAAGCAGACAGGTGTGAGTTCGATCCCTGGTACCAATAAAAATGAAAAAGACAAAAAAAATTTTTAAAAATTTTAAAAGTCATATTCACAGAATTGCACAACCAATACTAATATCTAATTTTAGTATATTGTCATCATCCTTAAATCAAAACCTTTACCCATTAAAAGTCACTTTTAACTAATTAAGGGAAACTATTAGTGTGCTTTCTGTCTCTATGAATTAACCTATTTTAGAAATGACCTTGTTGGAAATTATTTTTAAAAATCACTGTGTATGATAATTTCAGACAGTGAAGTCCTTGTTTTTCACACTGACTTTTTATATTTTGACACTGAAGCCACAATGACCACATATCATTTATTATAAAATGCATGAACTCTGGTCATTAACTGGTGATTAATTAACACTCTAATCACATAGTTCTAATTATTTTTATATCATTGAAAACAGACTCTTATGCCCCAAATTTTTTGGGATGAAGTATAGAAACTTCATGTTATACGTATGAAATAAAAGGTCCATTAGTTACAATATTGTACCACTTTCCAATACAATATAGAATACAGAGACTGGGCCAGGGTTGTAGCTCAGCAGCACAGTACCTGCCTAGAAGTTTGAGGACTTGAATTCAATTTCTGGTACAAAGAATACAATGATGACCAGTCAAAAGCATATCAGCTATCATGATAAATACAAAGTTATTATTTTATATTTATCATATTTGCTACTTTCTAGCCCTACCTATACTATTTATAGGCAGATTTCATTCTTAAAGTAGTTCTATTGAACATGGTTTTAATTCCAGAGACAAAAGCAGAGGAGGAAAAGCCTCCACATTTTTGGATATATGTCTCTCCGGTCTTAACATAATAGTTTATCTAAACTTTTTGTTCCAATGTAACTAGAAAAAAACACATGCTTTAAGAACTAGAATTTGCTATAAATGAATAAATGCAAAGTTTACTGATAAGGTTGTTTTGGATTAAGTGATGTATATTTCTAGTTTATAGGTCTGAAAATCATAAGAAAGGACAAGAAGAGATATCATATCACTCCTGTAAAAATGTGTTTCTTTGCAAAGCATACTATCGATATACTACCAAAACAAGGACCAGTATGTCTAAGGCATTTTAAATAAGACAATCAGTACAGTGACTATGAATTATTGTTTACTTCATTTATTGTAGGAAACCAAATTCCCTGAGTAATCTTTCTAAAGTAGCCTATCATATCTATTTACAAAGTTTTATTAATTTCGTAACACAATCCTGGATCATATAGATTCCAGCATCCTGGAACATACAAGTTTCACAGAGTTTCTGGTAAAAACAATCAAATCTATTGGTTGAATGGATGAATTGTTTGATATGTATTTAGAACACTAAGAGTGCTTCTAGAATAAATTATAATTTAATAAAATATTGAAATTACTGAAAGGAAGAAACAACTCTTTGAACTCTGGATAAAGTCACAGTACATATATCTCTTCTTTATAGAAATAAAGTCCCTCTCTCAAATTCTATATACACACACTTCACATAGGTCTATTTGTAGATGCAAGCACTAGAGGAAGTGTTTTGAAGAAGCTCAAGTACTAGATTTAAACATTGAGAATTCTCAATAGGTAAAGATATATTTTAACATTTCAGTCATTTATGAGGATATGCTGCTGCCTCTCAGCTGATTATTAGCTCCAATTTTAGTTCACTATCTACTACGTATTCCTGTACTATTTTTTTCTGTATATTTCCACTCTGATTATCATTTAGAACATGAATTGTGGGTTAATACACCATCAAAATCTTCCCATTCAATTAATAGCTTACAGTATATATCACATGACACATTAAACTTTTAAAGTAATTGAATTGAATTTTATTAGTAACCTGGCCATAAGTATAGAAATAAAATCTTAAGACATGAAAGGTTAAATGGAAGCAACTTTGTGTAATAGAAATAATGCTATTTCACCTAAAGTCTATATACTATCTCTTTATATTGGGTAAAGGTGAAAATGTAAATGACATAGTAGTGACCCAGTTTAATCTTTTGAACACATTAGTTTAGCTAATACATATATTAACTGCAAAAATCAAATCTTCCCTAAAAGAAAGATGGATGATTGACTTAATTATTGCAACGACACCATTTTCTACTGGCAATGCTGTCTTCTGCCAATAAATTAGGGTTAGTCTATTGTTTAATCACTCTCGATGGTATTGTCTCTCATTTAGTCTTCCAAAATTTTATGTTTAACCAACTTTATTGTGTATATAACTTATTTGGGGAGCTTTTAAAGATACATTTACTGATTTTCTACGTATGGAATGGGTTCTGAAACTTTACCTTTCAAACAAGCTCAAAGTCTAATAACCTCAGCATTAAATGGGAAATTTTTAGATATGCACATTTGTAGGTTCTACTCTAAACAAACTAAAGCATGATCTTTCTAAAGTATGAACCCAATAGTCTGTTTTATTAACCACTTTAGGTGAGTCACATGTAGGATGATTCTTGAGAACTGCTTTTATAAAACAAATGTACTCGACATTGGCTTCCCACTACAATTACCCAGGGAGGATTTTAATATTCAGTGTTCAGATCACTCTACAGATAAATTACATAAAGTTTCTCAATTGTAATAGAATGTTGTCCACTACTAAAAATATTAAACCCTATTATTTGCAGAAAATAGGTGGGAATGAAAGACACCATGTTAAGCAAAACAAGATAAATACTTCATATTTTCTCTCATATATGAAAATAACATCGAAAACAAAAGCAAAGATGACTTTCAAAAAACAGAAGAGGGAATTTTAGAGTTTGGAAATGGGATCATAAAAGGAAAAAGGATAAAAGAAGTTATAGAGAGAGTAAGAGAAAGGAGC